GTGGTTTACCCACCCATGCGCGGTCCAACTAACCTCGAACGGGAACTAAGCATTTAAAAAAAAATTGTACCGTGCATAATTTAACAACAGAATAAAAATATAATTTCACAAAAACAATATATAAAGAATTAAAATTGATATTTTAAATAAATATAAAACAAATAAAATACCTTCTTCAATATGTCCAGTTCCAAGCGTTATTCACATATAATATCCTGTACACAACGAAATTAACGATATTAATACGAATTTACAATAATACTTTTACACTAACGACCAAAAAAACTTACCCAAAACACGTAGCAGAGGCGGAAAATGAAATCCAATATCTTTGGCTGAAATTTGCAGGCTGAGAAGACGGAGAGAAAGAGGGGCAGAAGCAGAGGCAAAACTGTTTTTTCAGTTTGCCTCTGCAATGGATGAAATGAATCTGTTAAAGACAACGACTTTGCGCTACGAATATGTCATTTTGTCGCACAAATGACTTAGTCGCGCAAAAGATCAATTCCGTCGAGCAAAATAAAATTGACAGACGCGCAAAGACGAGCCGACATCACATCTTTGCGCGACGAAAATATAATTTCGTCACACTTATAACTTCGTCGCGCAAAATACCAATACCATCGCGCAAAATCCAATTCAGCGACGCGCAAAGATGTGATGTCGGCATGTCTTTGCGCAACGAATAGCTAATATATGTACCGCAAAGATTCATCGCGCAAATCCCTAGCTTGACACGCACGCAGCGCCGATAGCCACCTTACGCGACTAATACACTATTTCGTTGGGCAAAAATGTGGCGCGAAACAGCTGGACCACTGTTTGCTTTCCCGCGATTTTGTTTGCGCGATGACTATTAGTGTTTGTTGCGCTAAATGCTTTTGGGCGATGAATATTTTGTCGCGCAAGTTTTGCCTCCAAATCGACATTCCCGGGTTTTTTTTTCCTTATCTTTGTGCTACCGTTAAATATATAGCCACCTTACGCGACTAATACACTATTTCGTCGGGCAAAAATGTGGCGCGAAACAACTGGACCACTATTTGCTTTCCCGCGATTTTGTTTGCGCGACGACTATTAGTGTTTGTTGCGCTAAATGCTTTTGGGCGACGAATATTTTGTCGCGCAAGTTTTGCCTCCAAATCGACATTCCCGGGTTTTTTTTTCCTTATCTTTGTGCTACCGTTAAATATTTCGTCGCGCAAAGGATACTTTGCGCGACAAATAATTTAGTCGCGCCCGTTAAAAATTTAGTAGTGATATGCAGTTTACAGTTTTTGTGCTCTTTTTCCCTTGAATTTGTGATTTGATTATGATCCTCTTGCAGTGAGCTTCTTACTGGTGTTGTTCCATATACTGATCTTCGTGCGGAAGCCCAGGTTAGCCTTTCTCAATTGTATTTTGCTTACTTGTGTTATGATTTACAATGCTGATTTATTGTTTGATTGATGTGTCATATGATATATTCCTGTTGCTAATACACATGTTTATTTTTTGGCTTTCATTATGGTTAAATGCAGAAATAATAATATTGTAGAAATCAAATATCGGTAAGAAATAGCGGCCATCCAGATTCAGAAAGGTTGAAATATTTTTCTTGTCGACTAGGCGCCGCAAGGCACATTATATGTTCCAGTTGCAAATGTGGCACATTACTTGTGGATTAAAAGTTTCAATCTAGAATTTAGTAGAATTTAAAGGAATTTGGTGGAGGTAGAAAGTCTAGGTGTATTGAGTTAAGATTTTTACAAACGACATTTGAGCATAATAACTGTTAATCATTCGTACTAGTATTTGGAATTTAAGTTACTGGATAGTTGAAATTCCATTTAACCATAGTGAGAAGCATTTAAGGACTTCTATTTTCTATTATTTTATTAATCAACTAGTTCAAGTATCTGATATAGAAAACATGCAGTACTTCTATAGAAAAAAATGTTAATAACAGACCTTTGTCTAATTAGCTATTTAGTTATTTAAATACCTTTAAGCCATTTGGCCCTGGTGCCTTTATGTTCTATATATTGACTTCAACACGGAAGAGTACCTTTAAGCCAGATGGATTCATGTATATGTTCTGACAATACTATTTTCTTGGGTTTCAGAGTGGCATCTTTTGATGGAATTGTGCTTGTTATACAACAGAAATTTTGTAGCTTAATATGAATAGGTTTCTTATTTTAGATTTCACTATTCAAATTTATCACTGTTTAAGATCATGGTAGCTGACTGATGCATAATATTTATGTTGCTGGCAGGCTCACACTGTACTGGAGATGAACTACAGAAGAGGCAACAGTGTCGTTTAGTTAAAGAAGTTAGGTCAGATCTAATCTTCTTCTTCGTGAAAAACTTAGCGCCTAAGACGCCTTAGTGACCGCCTTGCTCCTCTTTTCGCCGCCTCACTGTCCACCGTCCACTTTTGTCGTCCACAAGGCGACTTGTGAGCAACAAACAAAGGACATGCCGTTTCACGATTAGGCAAAACGACATCGTCCGCTCCCCCCAGTCAAAATATTCTCGACCCAATTTCCTTCACCCTGCAAAATTGAAGAGTTTGGTGGCTTAATGGAGGGTAACAACAAGAAGGGCTACGCGTGGGCAATCTCAGCAGGCCTGAACGCCGCTCTGGCTGCCGTTTCGGCGAAGCTCATCACTCCTCAGGTGCCTTTCCCTTGCACACTTGATGAATTTAAGACCGTTGGATTTACATCGCAAAATCCTGCTCGATTTGTAATTTTTTTGTTTTTTGTTTTTGGGTCAACGAAAGCTTGATTTGTAATTGTTATTGTTTGAACAGATTGTTAGGTATGCATACCATATGGTTTGGTGATATTGTTGAATGCGACAATTTGGGGATGTTATGTGAACAGCCTTAAAGCTCTGTCTTCTCTGCAAGCTACTGTCACAAATTTTGCTGCAAACTTCCTGTCTTCTGGTCTAGCTGGATACCTTTTGTTCCAAGAACCCTTATCTTTTCAGGTAAATCAAAACATTCTGATGATATTGGACCAATTCACACTGATGTATTCATTTTCATATGCTTCTTTCTGAGTTATGACTGTTTGACATTCCTTTGATTATACGAGGCATTGCTTTTGATTTTGAATGTGAAGCATAGAATTTAATAAACGAATGACATTGTTAAATGGTGGAGTGTTTGCACCAAAGATTTTCGTTCCGGTTTCGGAGCACTACAAATGTGATTGCATTTCTGTTGCTGCATGTATATAAATTATAATGATTGTTCATTATAAGAACCTTGAGAAAATGTTTCTTGACTTGTTTCTTTTTCGTATCTGATGATGAGAAGGCTTGTTTGACAGTGGTTTGCAGGTGCCCTGCTCATTGTAGTTGGTTCACTGGTACTTAGTAAGTCAAGTATTGAGAAGAAAGTCCATACCCATTAACATTTCTGCATTTCACTTCACCCTTGTGGTTGAGATATCAGAGAACTCTAGATTTCAATTTCTTTCCTCTTCTGATAAAAGTAAGGAGAAAGAAGAGATTTCTTCAAGAACTGTTTTTACTCCAGAGGCAAACAAAGTCGAAAAAATTGTAGCAGAGGGATCTTCAAGAACTATTTATTTGAAGAGAGAATTTAACATCAATCCTTGATAACTCTAAAAAATACATGAACTTATGCTTTAACCATCAGATCTGCTCAAACATTTGAATGATATACAAATGAAATCCAGTACATGAATTATAATACACTTCAACACTTGGAATTGAAATGGGATTGTTTCTCAAGAATTGATGAGGTTAGAGAGGTGGAATTGCAACTTGTTATTCCAAACTTCAAGAACTCACTCTGTAGAGTCTGTATTCACCTCCTCATCAACTTGTTCCTCATTATATTCTTCAGAAGAGAACTCATCCTCCTCATCAACGTGCTGAAAAGAAGGAAACAATATTAAACTAGAAAAATAATACTCATCAGCTTATACTAAAATCGAAAGTGACAAATGGTGGCATATATACAAAGCTAAAGAGAAGGATGCTACTGATAGAGAAAAGGCATTGAAAGTGTTCATCCAATGCACTAAATGGGACTTAAAACGAGCGTCGAAGTGTTTACAAAATTCAAATTTTAGAAGGCTCTAAATACTCTGCCTAGGCATTTTTTTTTTAACTGAAGAAACTGTAGAACTTCATATTTTGAGATACTTAGATCAGAAACCAGCTAGGAAAAATTGAATTATGCTATCATCAATATTAGTCCCACAAATCCATAAAGAATGCGACCATGCTGACCATTTCTATCGGTATAATTTAACAGTCAATTCCTATATATCATCATATGGAGACGCAAAATATTTTGTTCAACAAGAGAGGGGGTGAAGAGAACGATGTACCACATCAAAATTAGGGTAACCAGGGGTCTCCTTATTTTAATAATCAAAATTAGCACATCAAAATTTGGAGTTGGGTTCCTGACATTCACTCTACATTCTGACATTCACTCTACTTTGCTATGTCGCAATGACAGAACAATTGAATTAAAAAAACCTCAAACGCACATGAAATACATTGTAATTTATTGTCAAATCGAAGCTTAAACAATCTCACACGTAATTTTTTTTTGTTTATATCATTAGAACCGTAATTTGATATTGCTAACTCAGTTTAATTCTTTAATATGGAGTATTTTTTTAGTAAGATTTGCAAACATATATATACTCACCTATGCACTTCTCTGTGTTTCCCTGTATTCAAAAGAAAAGAATGTGTATTATTGAGATGCAATCAGGTTTGAAAAAGAAACACTTTTATTGTTATATTATTGACTAAACACCAGTAAACATTTAGGAGCATACCTCTTTTCGTGAATGTTCCCTATAGTGCTATTGAGGTCCCCCATCCACTCAGACTTTCCCAACTCTGTGTGTACTTGGATTACAGAATGTGTGTTGACAACCTTAGAAGCAAATGTTCTTAAATCTGGACATCTTATAACCGTCAATTCCATCAAAGATGGCAACTTCAAAGTATAAGCTTCAGTAGAGAAACAAATGAGGTTTGGTAGACCTTCAAGCGTCATGGAATTCAGTCGAGGAAATGCAATTTCCTCATCACCACATTCAGTGTCTGCTTTTGCAATAACTTGTTCAATCTTCTCACAAGATCGAACTTTTAAGTCCTTTAAACTAACAAGGAGATTGGCTACAGTTGACAAGAACAAATATCGCAAACTGTCACAGAGGGATACACTTAAGAATGTCAAGTTTCCGAAGCCTGTGATATGTTGTGAACCGCCCGTTTCCCATACGTGCATTAAACTTGGCAATAGGGATAACGACAAGTAACACAACTTATTGAATGCTTGAACATTGTGGGTTTCCACAGTCTCTGGTCCCTTGAGTTGGAAAACAACTTCCAGTGACTCACAAAATAGTACAGAAAGACGTTCTAGATTATCGTAATAATTTGAGTCTTGATCAAGATTTGTTGGTGCAACCTAGAAAATCAAACATCAATTGAGCAACCGTATATAATTTATATAATTTCAATATGGCAATGTCATTGTCATTCTCAATTGTAACTCGAGGGTAGAGGTTCATAGAAATAAATTAATATGCTTACCTCTTGGTTGACCGGACGTGGCAGTATTTGAACAATATTTGTTCCTGAAGTAGGTTTGGTCATTGGGCCACATGAATAAGGTGTACATCCACAAGATCTTGATGAAATACCTTCGTCTTCGTCTTCGTGATGAGCTATTGAATCATTCTCCAACTTTTTTATTTGTGGAATTACTGAAATCAATGTCTTCAGTTTGTCGCATAGATTCACATACATAACTTTGGCGGCTGACCATAAAGAAGTAGAAGCATCAGGACAAAGACTCTCAAGACTCGGAAGCCCATTTAGATAAAAACTATTTAGTTTGGGAAACAAAGTCATTCCCATCTGATCCTCTTTTTCATTTTCATCTGCAGATCTGACTATAGTTTCCATTTTCCAGCATTTCGCTATGTTGAGCTCTTCAAGATTCACAAGTAGCCTGGCAATTGAATGTGGGAACACATATTGGAGATCACAACCCCGTATTATTAAATATTTTAAGTTTTGGAAGCCCTGGAATCCACGCGGAATGTTCTTCCAAAGTTGTTGACACTGAATGTGCAATGAAATCTTCAATTTTCGTAAATGAGAAAATGCTGGAACCATGTGGCCTTTCAGATCAAATAAGACATTGCCATTGTTAAATTGTAGTTCCACTTCTTCAAGATTTTGTAACCATAAAATGCACTTTGATGGAAATACTGCTCTTTCAAAGCTTCTAGAAGATTGATGCTCATCATATGAAGTTCCTACCACATTTTGATCCTGAAGAGATTCATTAATTAATAAATATTTAAAGAAACATATTATAGATCAACTTCAGACATTTTCCTCTCAAAAATGAAATTAATAACAAGCTCAATTATTATTATTTAAATGACTTCATATTAAAATATTAATAAAACCAAATTTTAATTGGAGGACTAGTCAGTTTCTAGATTCTTTATGCTGATACTGTTTAGACAAAACCTCTCCTCTGCTTTGCAGAATAATAATCACATAAAAGCTAGACTTTGTGGTCTCAGGTCAAACTAAATGCTTCCACGTGGCAAGAATTTTCCAGTAAACAATTTGGAGCTTGGCAATTAAGACCGTAATTTTGTTGGTGCTTGAACCGGTAGTTTATAGCATTGATTTCTCGAATACAATCAATTTAGGTAAGGCAGCCCACGTGTTATGTTATTTATTTTTTTGTAAAGGCAAGTAAACTAAATTCCTCATTTATCAGTATGAGAATATTTTTAGTTTTTAGGAAGAAAATGAGTAAATTGTCAAATTTTCCAGGTTAACGGGCCGAGGGCCCACTCCAACAACACCGATACTGTCCCCACTTTACCACATGCACAATCCTCATTTTGTGGGTCACACGTGGAGATCCACACATCGGCAACCACGTGGAGCCATGTAGGGACTCACCCATCGCGCGGGGCCAAACGGGGACCCACCCATCACGTGGCAAGTACGGGCCCGCAACCTGGCTCTGATACCATGTCAAATTTTCCAGGTTAACGGGCCGAGGGCCCCCTCCAACAACACCGATACGGTCCCCACTTTACCACATGCACAATCCTCATTTTGTGGGTCACACGTGGAGATCCACACATCGGCAACCACGTGGAGCCATGTAGGGACTCACCCATCGCGCGGGGCCAAACGGGGACCCACCCATCACGTGGCAAGTACGGGCCCGCAACCTGGCTCTGATACCATGTCAAATTTTCCAGGTTAACGGGCCGAGGGCCCCCTCCAACAACACCGATACGGTCCCCACTTTTAAATAATAGTCAAACTAAATTCAGACCACAACTAAATTCAGACCACATGGCAAGTAAACCAAAAAAAATAAAATATTGAGGCGCAAACAATTAACAAAACAATTATACTATTCAAGCATCGAAATAATAAGTTATATATGTAACATACCTCATGGTTGGAGTATAACTTGTTGGCTTCGTAGAAACCAACGAATTCATTAGATACCCGGAGTGTCAAATTTGTTAATTTAGGGAAAGCTATGATGTCCGATGCCGTCTCATGTTCCCTCCACTCCTTTGAGACGATTTCTTTCAATTGGGGACACTTGTCAACAAGTAAGCTTTGAAGTTGAACCAAGTTGCTTGCTACTGATAGAGAAAAGGCATATTTTAAAACAGCGCAATCATATAATTCAAGAGATCTTAAGTTGATAAAAGAGCTTTGTGGAAGTTGGTCGTGGCATATTGCTTTTAGCTTGGGCATCCCCTTGAGTTGGATTGATTGGATGCGAGGGAAGGCTGTTTGTTGAGTCCAACTTGCTCCATTTACAAGGTATTCTATCTCAGGGCACCACCGAATTTTTAAAACTTTTAAGTGTCGCAGTCCCTCTTGGTCTAATTCATTGAGGACATACTTTAAATTCTTAATGTCATCCAAGAATAAATCTTCACATTTCTTAAATAAGAGTCGAACAATTTGAATCTCCATGAATTCCGTTGCATCATTTTGAAAAATATCCAACCTATTTTCGAATGCATAACAACAACCATTACTTGTTGATGGACTTCCAACTAACAATCCTCCGTTGGATATGTGGAATCTTATTGTTGTCTGGATTGTCAAGTAAAAGTCTTTTGGAAAGAAGTTGAAATTAGGTATATCTATGACTAAAACCTTCAAATGATTAGACAAAGACATCACCTCAACAAGGCTTGCCATCCTCTTATCTTCGCTTTCTGATCGTTCCCACTGGCGAAAACTATTTTCCATGTACAACTCTTCAAGACTAGATAAGCTCGATAAGAGACCATGTGGAATCTTCACAAGTTGACGACAATTCGTGATATCTAACAACCTTAAATGTTTAAGAAGTCCAATTTCCCTCGGCAACTCTGAGATGTTAATGCATTGACGAAAGCTGAGGATCTCTAAATTTTCCAATCTTCC